GGGAGGTTACGTGGCCCCGAGACCGCCAAAATCACTCCAACACCTGATTTGGGGGGCGTCGAGGTCTCTGGGTGATTTTAACGCCGACTTAGAGACACGCTTTTGCAAATTTTGAGTTATTTAGCGAATTTCGAAAACCGGTTTATGAAATTTTGATCCCCAGCTTCAGGACTGCAATTCATGAATGGTTTGGATCCTGCGCTTCGAGTAGTTCGAGTCGCTTTGGAACATCAGTGTTGTGGTGGGGGTCAGAGGCTATGCAAGGTTTACGTCTGGTAACTTGAAATCATTGGTTACTTAACACCAGTAACAGAAAGACGGTAACTGAAACTAAAACTGTTCTACAAGCTAAAGCCCCATGCAACCCTAAGTCTTTATATGTGATAAAAATAATTGTGTAGTGTTTTAAAATCGTGTTTTAAAGAAAAATGATGGATTTGCATTGTTGCGAAACGACCGAAAATGAAATTAGAGCCTTCGCTGACGACACTTTACTCCAAGACCGGGTTTTAAAAAACATGTTACAGACTGAGTATCGGTGTGTTCCCTCCAACGTGTTTATCATTCAACGGGAGATTACCGAGAGCATGATTGAGATCGTCGGGGGTTGGATGATGGAGGTGAGTCCTTCCGGCCCTTCCATTTAAAATTTAAATACCTGGCGCAATTACCCGGTAATTTCCCCATCTCCATTTAGCGTGCAATTTACATTGATTAGTAAAAATTAAAGAGCGACATTTCGTCCCTCCTCGGTTTAAATGTCCGAGGTCAAAAACCTTCGAGGCCCCCCAAAATTGGCCTGGCAACAAGCCTTCGGATTTTAAATTTTAAAAAACTCGTTACAGGTATGCGAAGAACAGACGTGTCAAGACGACGTCTTCCTCCTCTCCATGAACTACTTGTACAGGTTTTTAACCACCACCAACATTAAGAAGAACCAACTGCAGCTTTTGGGGGCGGCATGTATGCTCGTCGCTTCAAAGTTGAGGGAGCCTAAACCTTTATCAGCTGAGATGTTGGTTTTCTATACTGATCACAGCATTACCACCAATATGCTTACGGTGAGTAAAACCTTTCCGGAAGTTTGCTCAGATTGCCTTTATCAGTGTGGGATTGATCGATTTAACGGATTTTTGTGCGGAGAACAATACCACGATAACAGTTTCTTAATCAGCCACCATTTTGGCGAGGTGGTCATCGAAATAGGTCGACGAGCGAATTATGAATGAACGAATCTCTTGTCAGGAGATAACGCGAATGTCAAAGACAGCTGATTTCATGACCCCGCAAGTATTTATCTCGCGTATTAATTTTTGGCATTGTTGATTTTTTAGAGGCTACGATTTTTTAAGTGTTGCAACGTTGCACCACACGGGTTTAAATACCTCTACTTCACCTGTCAGCTGTTTTTAAAGTTCGTTGTTTAGCTTTCTTTATCTTTATTGTTTGTGTTAATTAGTTTAGTAATCGGTCATTGACCTCGCACTTTTCGAGGAAATGTCGATTAGTTACATTTTTAACGATTTTTCAATGCGAATATTCGCATATTATTTGGTTTCTTGCGAATATTCGCGCGAGGCGACGTTAAAACGGTATTGTCATCGTCTCGATTGTATTCCAAAAGCGGAATTAAAATTCCCAAGGACGTGATATCCTTTCACATTTGATTCCGAGTATTTTTTTCCCAAAGTACCTGTTAGGACCAACAGGTAGTTTATACCTACTTCATGGGGGGGTCTACCTGTGTTCCTCGAATAAGGAAATCTCTTGATTTCATTGTGAGAATTTCTCTGGGAAGGTTCTTTGAGTTTACCGCAACATCTTTGACATAAATAAGTTTCAACAATAGAAGTATTATGTAGTGGCGCCGTCAAGTTAGGGCTTTGGTCACTTTTTTACTTCAAAAGAATCGTTAATCGTAATGATTTCTGGTACCTAGAACGTGTTAGGTCCCGTCAGCCATTTTCTTCGCTAATTTGATTTGTACAATCGGCTTCTTAATGAATCCTGCGAACAGGCCGGACGGGTCTTCGACTAATGGACATTCCGTGCGAGCCAGTGGCCGCGACCTTCATCCCTGCTGCCGTGGCAGGTAACCTCGTCTCTCCTCTCGTCGAGGGAAAAAAGCGAAATTCCTCAGGACCGGGTTTGACGATCGAAATTTTTGTTACAGTCCTGGGAGCGGCTGGTGCTCAGTAAACTGAAATGGGACATCATCGCCATTATGCCGGTGGATTTCCTGCCACATCTGCTGATTCGGCTGGACTTGGAGCGACTGGGAATCAAAACCGAGATGGTCAAGAAGCACGCAAAGATCCTCATAACCCTCTGCGCAAAAGGTGAGTCGGCCTTCGGCGATTTAACGGTCGCGGTCCCGAAACAAAGCAGATTCAAGGTCCTCGGGACCGTTGATCGCGCACCTAACGTGGCCCCCGGAGCCGAATCACTCTCGATTTCGGCTTTGTCTGGAAGCCGGCCACCCACGGCTCGTACCAGGGCCGGCGTTGCGCTCCGGATGCAATTTGGGACAATTTTCGCGGACCCCTTCAGTTTGTTGACCCCTGACGTCAGCCGATAGCCTTGTCTGAGATGTGGCGAGGCTCAAAATACCCAAATTTCTTGCATATATAAAACAAATCGGGCAATTATCATCGCGTTTGATTTAAATCCTGTGGTGCGAAAAAACTCGCCGGGACAGGCAAGGAATGCATCCTGGCGCTGCTGCATTTCTCACGATCCAAATTTAGGAAGACTGCAAGCAGTCAAGGCCGCCGCACTCATTGGATAAACAAGAGTTTCCATTCCTCGAGGGCCTCGGCCGGCGACCGAGCGCTTTCATCATCTTTTCGGGCCCGTTTTTTTCTCTTTGCGGCGGCGCTGATAATTTTAAAGCAATCATGCCGAGTCGGGCATTACAACAGATCGATAATGAAGTTTTTGTTGTCTTGCAGAATGCCGATTCACGAATTGTTATCCCAGTCTATTGGCTTGCGCTAGCGTGGTGTCGGCGTTATGTGGCCTGGGATGGGTCAACAAGTACCACCAATCGCAAGAAGCCCTCTTCAAGACACTAGCGGATATTATCGAAGTTCCAGAAACGGTAAGTACACCAAACAGGTGGCGATCACATGTTTGGTTAGTTCCATGAAAGGGCGCATTCTAGACTGGAGTTTTTCGTTGCAGGATTTCATGCAGGAATTGGTGCAGAATATAGACCAAATGATCAAACAGAATTTCGAAAATGTTAAAGACAATAAAGTGTGTGACGAAGTGACGAGGTCAGAACAATGTACTCCTCCTCCTGGGAAAATTCGCGACTACAAGACGGCGACTACGCCGACCGATGTGCATGATGTTTGTTTCTGAAAACTTTAGTTTAATTGTGAATAGAAGTGAATCCTGCGATGACGCTAGTTCGAAGGAAAGTGTGCAAAGACGTGATGGCTTTAGGGGAAGGCAATAAATTACGCTTGAATAAAAGAAAAAAGAACTGTTCAATTTTTGTACGTCTTTTTAGAAATACAAGACTTTTACAGCGGGTGAACGTTGAAAATGTTTGAGATACTATGTTAGTCAGTTACGATCCTAAGTTTCTGTTCCTAAAACGTGATTCTAAACGCAAATTAAATTAAGCAAGTTTAACAATTTGTTTAGAAGCTTGCGTAGTATGAATAACCTTCAAAGACTGCTAGCTCTAATCCGGAGCAATGACTTACTTAATTATCGTTAATCGTCTTCCAAATTTGACCAAGTCAATCAATGCAATCATAATGAGAAAGTATTTTTGTCAAACTATTAAATTTTTATAGTTAGTTTATTAAGAAAGTGTGATTATAACTGTAGGTATTTTCAATTTTATATGTGATCATAATTCAACTAAGAATAGTGATTTTAAAATTTATTTGACAAATATCTTATTATAAGGGCCTTGAACGTACCTAAGGCTGGGTTTACCTAAACTCTACGCCACGCAAATTCGCGGAATTCCTCTTCCTGACCTTTTGCGTGGCTTTGCGTTTCGATAAAACCAGCATAATATGCTTGTGCATACGACTATATAGCTTATTAAGGCAACACTGTAAATATTTAGGAGGTAGCCAATTAAACACTTTGACATTGTACATAAAATGACCGCTCCACCACTTACACTGCCAATAACTATTTATAAATTCTGCTCACAATAGTTCAATGATCCATATACCTCATTTTAGTTCTCATTACAACAACAAAAGCCCTATAGATTTATATATTGTAACTGGTATTGGTTTTTTTACACCGAAATTTCCACGTTTGAAACTTTCCTAAATGCAGTGGAATCTTGGTGTAACAAATCCTTCCAGAAAAATTATTTTATTGTACATAGTATATAGCGCCGATTAGTGCACGATCAAAGAGATTTTGTGCCTCCTCAAACTTCCGTTTTTATCAAAACGCGAATTTAAGTCACTATACGCTCCAAAATTCCTCTGATCGTGCGCTAAATACTTATATTGTATATAGTTATATATACCACACAGAATTTTAATTGTTTACATTAATTGTAAGTTAAATTTTATAAATACAAATAAAAATCTCGATAAACGAATATTTGGACTTTTAAATCTTCTCGCCCAACGAATTTTTTTTAATTATTTTATACGGATCTTGAACATGCCATTAAATTAACGAGCTGAAACCATTTAAGGAAAAACTTGACTGCATACTCCACGAATCGTTGCCCTTATTGTCGTAGTGGGGGGCCACGATCAAATAAAAAAACTCGCGTTTTACCGCTAAAACTAAAATTTAGCGGGTAAATGGATTAAAATCCCTGTTTCTTGGCGGGCTCACTAACGAAAAAACCGGGATTTACTTCGAAAGAGGCGCGAGTTATTGCACGTGGTTCGTGTAGTTCAAATGATCAAAACAATGAAGTTGGGTGCGCACACGATCTAAGAGGCCATGGTTAAAAAAGCAATCAGTGGCGGATCGTCACTCACATAATTGGAAAATAATAAAAAAATTCAATAGGACTAGTTTAACTTGTAGCTTGTCCCATTTATGTTTCTGTTCTTGAATATACTTTGGCGTGTAAACGTAACAAATATCAATTTTTTCTTGAAAATTTGTGGATTTTCAGTTGATATTACAGACATCTGTAACGAAGAAGTGACGTTTTCGATCCACTTTTGTAGGTTATACTATTTTTTGAAAAGAAAATCGTTTAAAAATTAACAATAATGACGTCTATGGTACAAAAAGCAGTGTTAAACTAGATAATCCACTAATTTAAATGTTTCAGGCCATTAAAACTTTGGGGAAGTTTATTAAACCTGGAATTTTTGATAGGGGTACAGGAGCTCTATTACCTGAAGCTTATAAAAAGTTTTACAAAGAATGGAAATTGACTGAACCTACGGCTGTTCACTATATCCCGGAAGAAGGTAAATTTAAGAGGGATGAAGTCACAGGGGAGGTGTAAGTATTATTTCCAAAATAAGTATCTCCTGATGATCCATTCTTTAGGCGCCCTGTTCAGAATTATCCCATACCTGTAATTTACCCGAAAGAATCAAATGAGCAAATGTGGGGTGGTGAAGGCATTGTACAAGGATTTCAAATCAGAGATTGGCGTAGAAGACGTGTCCCTCATTTCTGGATGCCCCATCTCAAACGTTCAGTGGTTTATAGTGAAGTTTTAGATAAATATATTTCAGTTGTTGTCACCGATCGTACTATTAGCTTGATCAACGCAAATTATGGTTTTGATCATTACCTTCTAAAGGTAATTTGATGAAAACTTATGAATTTAACATTTAATTTTTTTATTTATAGACACCAGCTTGTGATTTGAAATCAATACTGCCACTGACTTTAAAACGGAAGATATTACAAGAGTTAGAAAAAGGATGTCCCATTTATCAAAACAAACCTGACAAACAAAAGGAAGTCTATAATAAATACAAGCAATATCTATCTGCAGTAATTTTAAATTTGCCATAAAAAATTTTAATTCATAAATTACGTTTTTAGTTCACTTCTGAGGAAATAGAATGGTATGGATATTCTTTTGCTGCCGCTTGTAAAAAATTGGAGGCTTCAATAGAAGCACAAAATAAGCCAATTCCTCTAAAACATGTTTATAGATCACAATTAATTGAAAAACTAAAAGAAGCAGGAATTAGAGAAGCTACTGAAGACGTAGCTGTCGGGTAAGTAAATTATTCTTATTGTTTTTTTTTCTTCTAATTTGCTAATTATTCAGGGGTGCAAGTACTTGGCTAAAGAAAATTAATCCATTTGCTAAAGAAACCTAAATTTTAGTAGTAGCAGTCATGTTAAAATAAATTACATCTTCATAGAACTACTTTTTTTATTAAACAACAAAACCTTCCAATAATAAAATATTATACATTTAACTAATGGTGCAATCAAGCTCTTTTTGTTTTGGAAGACACTCCAAAGTCACAGCCACCGCTCTCGTCATGTACGTCATAGTTCCATAACAGCCGCTAGGAGCACTGTCGTAAAAATGTTGGCAAATGTATGCAGCGCCCCCACACAATAAACCTCCAGTTTTGGACGTTTCCCTCATTTCTTTGGGTTTGGCACAACACAATGTGGCGTCACCGTCACATTTCATCTAAATCACATTCAGATTTAATTATTCAAGCTTACGGAAATATACCGACCTGATCGTCCAAAAATAACTCATTTGCGATGTGGACCAAATGCTCCACTTGGATTACCCCTCCTAAAGAGGGCGTTATGTTGTATTCCGCCACCAAAGTCAGAACCATTAAAGCTTCAACTATTAATTGCCGATATTCGGGTTGAGGAATTGTATTTAAGACAGTTTCCACCGCTAGGGCGAATTTTAACTCGCCGGAAGTCATTTCTTGCGTCAGGCTTTGGGGCAAGACTTTACCGGCGATATCTATACCTTGACACTGCAAGAAAATAATCGTAACAGATTATACGAAACTATATCATAATGCACAATTACATATGCGTGAAAATTGGCAATATCGTACGAGGTCGAAAACCTGTGCGATTTGTTTTCGCACTTTGTTAGAAATCTAACGCACAATTCACACTCGAATGTTTTGTATTTTTTCATTTAACGTATTTTTTTTGTATCCATTATAAACAATAAATCGTTATGAAAAAAAAAAATTGTTCGTAAGAAAAAAAAATTATGGTCGTAGGAAAAATAGTGTACAAAACTTGCAGGAAAGTGTCTAACGCACTCGCGGTATCACCTGCACTCGGCTAACGCCTCGTGCGCAACTTTCCCGCTTGTGCGTTATTTATCACTTTCCATGCTCGTTATGTAATATACTATTGTGTCTTACTCAACGTGATAGCTCCAACGCTCTCAACCCGTGTAAAAATTAATTAACCATCTCTCTCGCGCAAAATAGCAATTGTTTTTGGAGAGGGGAGCACAGAGCAATTTTGTTAGACACTATAGCAACAAATATCAAACTTTAGACAATAAGCGATGATGAAAAATGAAAATTCAATCCAATCTTTACTGCAACGGACGTGTTATTTTTGTTAATTAATATTACTTGGGCCAAAAGTCCATAAAAATGAAAATTAAAAAAAAAATTAACCAAGAGTGCGTTGAATTTCAATCATTCAATCTGACACTTGTGACAGTTGTTGACAATTCGCGTCAATGTGTTTCACATGAATTCGCGTCAATGTGTTTCACATTTTTCAAGAAAAAAAACCGAAAACGATAGAAAAACGAAAGGAAACGTTACTGGTTACTGGTGATTTGAACAAGGCAAAAGAGTGACGTAACTATCGAGCGTTCAAGATAATTTGTAATCGAGTCATCTTTTAATCCGCAAACGTATGTCTGTGACACGTCAAATAAAATTTGATATTTTGATTTGATAAACGTTTCGAAAGACAAAGGGTAGTTTAACACACAAGAGCCCCTTATTTTATTAAGAATTTTGGCGAAGAAATGTGAAAATTAAGGTTATTCTGAAATTGTGAGATGACGGAAATAATGCATGAAACGTACGTCAAAAACTATGTGAAACCTACTTAATTGGCACACTGGTTGACTTGAAATAGTTAGGTAGTGATTTGTGAAGTGTTGACTATAAGAGACTATAAGAGCCCAATATAAAAGAAATTTGTAATTTAATTTAATTTTTGAATTTATTATTTCTATCGACGTAACAAAAACTAGATGTACCCACTGAACTAACAAAAAATAGATTTTTAGTTTATTAGCAGAAAAATTGTGAAAATTCAATAATTCAAAACTTTAAAACTTTTACAAAACATTTGCGAATCCGCGAGGATTGTTCGATTTAACTAGTTTACCCTTTCTAAGACACTCCAAACTCGAGGGTAGAAGTCACGAGGGACCCTATTTAAAGCCCCATCCAATCGACGCCGCCTTAACCACTGACCTTGACGGTCCCCCTCAATCATTTCATCGTTGCTGTCTTGACCTAAACTGAAATGACTTTTCTGCAAGTTGGTAGTTTTCAAAAAGTTAGCTATTTAACCATTAACTTACTTTACTAATGCGACTTGATTTGTTGCTGACAATCGAGAAGTTTCCTCTACCGACTAATAGAAAATCATTATTTGAAAAAACCAAGATTTTGAAACTTACCGCTACTGATGGCAAATTCCTTCCCACTTATTATATGATATAGCAAATTTTTCATTTCGAATGGACTTAAATTAAGCAAATGCTCCGAGGCTTCGTCCCCGTCACAAATGAGCGTTCGTGATAATTCAGTTGCCATAACTTGAATTATCAATCCTACTCTCAATCTCAACATTTCCAAAAACAATTGAGGTTCTGTTCTTATGAACATGGCAAGATAAACTAACAATTCTTGCGTCAACATGGCTGTACTGTCGTCCTCTCCATACGCATCGTGGATCAATAGTCTCAGTTCGCTTTCAGGCAAGGGGGCTGTAATCGTATGCTCGTTATGCGGGGGCATCCCCACCGTTATTTGTTTCTGCCGGACCAACAAATCGGTCACCGATTTCGCCAAATCCTCCACTCGTTTCCCCAACATACCGGCAGTGTGCCTCACCAAGCCCCACATCTTCTGCTGGCAGGCCTTCTCATACAAACCTTTGAGTAAATCGCGAACTGTGATCGGTTTTCCGAAATCCAGCATTCCGGTGTGGAAATCCAGCCCTTTTGAGTCGACGAGGTATTGGAGGATGTCTCCTTGTTCGTCGAGAGATTCAGACTCGCGCAGCATTGCGAACAGTTCTTCGACTTCGGTGTCGGCGTATTGCGTCTCCGAGTTGGTTTTGTGACGTGTCACGTTTATATTGGGGATGTTTTTGCGCTGGAAATCTTTAGCCATTTGGGGGGTGCTTTCCGGTGATGGAGAACGGGCGTGGTCGAGTTGAGTGGCGTTGTCGACGGTGTCTTGCCAGTTTGTGAGAAACATCGAACCGCGACGTTCAATGGTTGAGTTCCCTTCCATTCCCAAAGTCTCGGCTTAGAAAAAATGAAATAAGTCAAAGACTTTGACAACTAGCCTAGTCAAATTAGACAAAAATAGGGGGCGATCGGTGGAAAAAAATCCTAGAGAGTTTGAATTTTTTTTAAACGCTTTCTTTATTCTTGGTTAGACATACAGGGTGTTCGGTCCAAGTCGGCCCCGGCTGATAACACCTAAACTTACTTCTACTTTTCAAAAAGTAAATATTTAAGTAATAATATTCATTCTTGGCTTTCTTAATAAATGTATTAAATTTTTTTAACACATCCGGTGTTGCCGGAAATGCTACCAAATTTAGTTTTTCAAATGGAACACCTACGTTTTTTTTTCCTCCAAACAATAATAATTGACATGAAAAATACTGTAAACCACTATTTATTACATTTTGCGTAACACAATGCAATCAAAAAACATCTTAAATCTTAAAATTTTATAGGAAGTTGGTCGCGTAGCCTGATTTTTAATTTTAAAGGAAAGGTGTGAATGAAAAAAAAATGCTTGGATACAGTTTAATTGTTGGTTTGACAAATTTAATTTGTCAGTTTATGAGCGAGTTCTCTTATGGAAACTCTTGGATTTTCTTCGACTGATAACAAAACATTCAGGTTTCTATTTTCTTGTTCTTCACAAAGAACCACAGGTTTTTTAGTTTTACGAAGCGAACCTATCGTCTCAGTTGTTTTTCAATTCGACTAAATTTTCAACGGTTTGGGTGAATTCTATTTGAGTATTTTTCTCTATACTGTCTTTCAGCTTCCGCTCTATTTTTGTTGCACTTAAAAAATACTTCAAGCTGATCTACCAATTCGTCGTAATTAATAACATCCATTATTAAAGATCTCATTAAGATTTATTGACAAATTAGGCTTTGTCAAACTAAGAATTAAACGGTATCCAAGCATATTGCTTTTTTCATGAATACCTTGACAAGTAAAATCCGCCTACGTTGCAAAATTTGCAATAAAATTCAAAAATTTAAATTGTTTTCTGAATGCATTATGTAAAGTAAAATGTAATAATTAGTGGTTTACCGTATCTTTCATGTCAATTTTATTTTTGTTTCGAGGAAAAAAAACATAGGTGTTCCATTTGAAAAACTAAATTTGGTAGCATTTCCGACTACACCGGATGTGCCAAAAAAATTTGATGCATTTACCAAAAAAACGAGGAATGAATAGTATTATTTGAATATTTAGTTTTTGAAAAAAAAAATTAAGTTTAGGTGTTATCGGCCGGGGCGACTTGGACCGAACAGCCTGTATAAGTCCCCGAAGGTGGGGGGCGAGCTCGAGGAGGGGGAGGGGGCTAAAGGTGTCTTTTTTGTTTATATCTCGGAAACTATTACTCCTAACAGTTTTTGCCTGCTTATGAAAATTAAAGTCTACAAAATTTCCTACAAAAATAGTCCTTTGCATTTTTGTTGTAGGACTAACTGTAAGCGAGTTATAGGGCTGACAAAAAACATCATTTAAAAAAATGTGCTTTATCCGCATTTAAAACAGAATTAATCTTGTGATTTGAAAAAACTGAAAGCAAATTGAATTTATTGGGTGCAACACTTCATTAGAGAGACTATAAAGTCTTCCGAGTCGCCCTTATATGCTGCATCTTCGTCTTCAATTTAACATTGAAAACGGAATTACAGTCTTGTTCAGTACAATATTAATAAATAGATGATTTAATATCGATGATTTGAATAAGGCTTACAGTAAACTGAATGTATTGGATCCAACAGTTTATTAGAAGATGCCACGAGGGTCTATCAAGTTTTCCGAGTCATCCTTATATCCTGAACTAGCATTTGCCTGCGACTTTGTCCGCGTGTATTTCTGATATAAAATGGGATAAAGCCCGTTCACAAAACCATTCCATGGGCTTAGGTACTCTATAAAGCAAGATAATTACCTATGTTATGTATAGGATTCAGTTATAGTAGCCTCGTTCTTCGCATGGACTAGGTTTATGGATAAATATTAAATGTTGATTTTCATAAAGTGCCATCTCAGTGCACTTCTGCACTCTCAAAATTCGAAATTTCATGTTTCTAATTTTGTTTTTAAGCGTTTAAACTCTATTTTATTTCATTAAAATTTGAAAAGTGCACTTCTACACTCTGTACGGATCATATTTTCTAAATTTAATGTTTTTTAAATGTGTACACCGTTTTATTCCCTTAAAAACTAATTTTCGAAAAATCTGATTTAGTGCCATTTTACCCCTTACAGATTGATTCTCTCTTTCATCCAAAATTTTTATTTATATCTCCGATTAAATGTTTACACCTGAGTCACCTTTCAGGCAGACCAGCTTAGTTGGGGAAATGCTCTACACATATAAATACTTACCATATACTAACGAAATGTGTTTCAAAGGATTTTTAATGCAATTTTATGTAGACTCCAAACTTGAAAAGCCTACGGTTAGTCCTACGACAAAAATCAATAGGACCATTTTTGTAGGAAATTTTGATGCAGAAATAGACTTCTACAGAAAATTCTGCATAAATTACATAAATGATGAGTTTGTGTTTATAGACCCTCGTGACTCCCCCTTCCTTTAATGAAGTATTGAAATTTAATTTACTGTCAGTTAAATTTTTAAGTTACAAGACTAATTCTGTTTTAAATGCAGATAAAGCACATTTTTTTAAATGATGTTTTTTGTCTGCCCTATAACTCGCTTACGGTTAGTCCAACAACTAAAATGTAAAAGACCATTTTTGTAGGAAATTTTGTAAGCTTTAATTTTGATAAGAAGATAAAAACCTATAGGAGTGATAATTTCCAAGATATATGCAAAAAACCAAAAAAAGACACCTTTAACCCCCTCCCCCTCCTCGAGCTCGCCCCCCACCGTTGGGGACTTTTGCTATATGTCTACTCAAGTGTAAAGAAAGCGTTTAAAAAAAATTCTAACTCTGTAGGATTTTTTTCCACCGATTTGTCTAATTTGACTGGGCTAAACAAAACACTGGACAAGACACAAAATAATTCACATAATAAAGCGAACAAATCTAGTTTCTCTCACAACAGCTGCTATCTAAATTAGAAATTTGAAAATTACATACCCTGTTTGAGCAAAATTGGCTGCATGAAAATGTCAGCTGAACTTAATTTATTGAAAGCGTTTGAAACCCACAACTTACAATCAACATTGATTGATCTAGTTTTCTTGATTGCGCCACGGACCGACATTCGCCTTCTCAAATGTTTCCTGCTGCTTCTGCCGTGAGTCTGTTTCAGAAGCGACGATTTACTCGACAGGGACTTCACTAGGTGTTCCTCGAGGTATTGATGCACTTGGGGGTTCAATTCTACAATTTCCAATTTTAGTTTACTCTCTTTCTTAATTCGGGTAATTTACTATCGGGTAAGCCGTCTTCGTGACACCCCAAAAAACTTAAATTGGTGATGCAACTCGTGCTGAGAAAGTCGTTGAGGTGACCTAGAGTGACTCTAGTCCCGTTAATGTAGCCCGATTTGAGTTTTTTCATAGTGGTGATCATGGCTAGAGGGATTCTTCCATCATCTGGAAGACAGACAGCCTGTATACAACCAACGAATATTTCACGTAATATTCGTTGGTTGTATACAGGCTGTTCCGGCTAAACTCCACATTAGAAGTATTGATATTTATCTAAAATTTTAGTTATAGGCATAATCATTTAGGTTTTTCTCAATGAAAATATTTTCAAAATGGCGGTACTTCCTAATACACCGGAAGTGAATATCAATTTCGTTATTTTAAGTATCGAGCGATCAAGATAATTTGTAATCGAGTCTTCTTTGCATCCGAGAACGTATGTCTGTTTTTGAACTAGCTGCACATGAAACGTCAAATAAAATGACAATTCGAAAGGTAAAACGTCAAAATGAGCTGGAATTAGTCGCCTACGTAAATAATACGAGTAGGACCGTTCTTTTTTGAAGGTAAATTATAAATTTAGGTATTATAATCATCATCTTTTTGATCTTGCCACTTTACCTTTCGACTTGTCATTTTACTTGACATTTTACAGACATACGTTTTTGGATCCAAGGATGACTCTATTACAAATTATCTTGATCGCTCGATAGAAAACTATGTTTTTTTACTGGGTTTTCGGGTTACTCAAGTGATTTTGAGAGGGTTTTCATTAGCCTTCCCTATACCTGAGTTTAATCGTTTTCGAAATATTCACTTTTTAAAAAATTCTTTAGATTTGAATCTTCCTATTCAAAAATCAATAACTCTACCATTTTCAATTATTTTGAAATCGTATTTGGGCGTATGAAAAATTTAGATCTTTTCTTTCGTATATTTATAATTGGAAAAATAATTAACAAACCGCCAAAATGTAAGGTTTAGGAAACTTCAAATACCCTTAACTCATTTTTTTTTTAATGAAACACCCTAATGACATTCCCTATACCTATGTTCGATAGTTTTCAAGTTATAGTAACTTCTTTTGATATTGTAAGAAATTCATTGCCATAGCATAGAAATAAGGAAAAAATAGAATATCATAGTTATTCAAATTTAGAATTATTAAAAGATAATGACCACATTTGTGGTCGGATTTGATTAAGAGCTTCATTTTTATTTAATAAAGTGTCAATCGAGACTTTTCAAAACATCGTGCTACAAAAGACAGTTGGGGAAACTAAGAAAGTGTCAGATGTACCGGCTTAAAAGATTTCTAGACTTGCAAAAACACATTTCAAAATGTCTTAAAGAAATGCTTAAATTAAAAAAATGTCAAGCGAGACTTTTTATAGTTTAAAATGATTAAATAAATTTAATTTGTACTTTCGAAAAGAATAACACTATTGTGAAAAAAAAATTGGCGTTTTTTACTTGAGAAATATTTCCATGGCAAACTATACAAAAACTACCATGGATAGTGATGAATTTCTTCCATTGTAAAAAAAGTTAAAATGATTTGGAAATCAGGTATAGGGAATGTTGATACAGATCGATGCAGAATTAAATTCTCTTTCATCTAGTGAAGAAAAAATTGGAGCCTTCCATTTGAAAAAATTCACTTATGGGTATTTGAAGTTTCCCAAACGTAACCTTAAATTTTGGAGGTTTGTTAATTATTTTTCCAATTATAAATACACGAAAGAAAAAATCTAACCTTTCTTTTTCGTATGCCCAAATGCGATTTCAAAATCATTAAAAATGGTAGAGTTATCGATTTTTGGAGGGGAAGATGCAAATTATAAAAATTTCAAAGAAGTCTAAACATTTTAAAAACGGTTAAACTCAGGTATAGGAAGATGTGGTAAAAACTCTCTCAAAATTACTTGAGTAATCAAAAAACGCAATAAAAAAACATAACTTTCTATTTGAAATAGCGAAGTTGATACCCATTTCCTTTGTAACCGGAAGTGCTGCAATCTTGAAAATATTTTCATTGACAGGATCTAAACGATTATGACTATAATCCAATACTTCCAATGTGGGGTATAATAGGAACAGCCTGTATTTTTTTTTGTTAATAATGAATGAATGGAAAAACATTACCTAAGTAGCTTTTCGCCGCAACAAGCGTAATGGTAGGTCTGCCAAGCATGTTTCGCCAATTCATAGTTAAGAAGGCGAAATGAGTCACTAATTTATCAGCCAAGAGTGCCATGTCGTAACTTGTGTAATATTCGTCCATATCAACATTCTAATAACCCAGGACGCAACATGCAACACATCACCACATACCAAATCTTAGCAACAAACCACACACAAGTAAAAATAAATTATCAGAGAAAATGACGTTAGTTAACCAACTTTAGAAACCCTTAAATACCTAAATGGAGTTTCCGACACGCAATTGTTACAAGTGGTCGGCCCAACATATTCTGCCAACTTGACTTCAAGAAATTTATTTCACTCTTGCAAATATCTATCATCAGTTCATAGTCGGTTGCAATGTAATTGTGAGACATGTCCGTAAACTGACCGGTAAAACAAAACAACTAAAGCGAATATAAAATTCAACCAAATCACCTGTGGCGTGAATGCGAAGATTTTATCCCCCAATGAGTACAGTTTACTGGTGCTGAGAATCCCAACGTCGCGGGATTTTCGACCCGATAGACCCAACTTCTTATTTCTCCCTAACAAAACCAAATTAAAACAATACAAACAAGTGAAATTAACTACCGAGATAAGTGTATAAGTGTGACAAAACCCGAGCTGGTTGTACTTCAATAGGGGCCACTTCGCTGATAGTCTGCACCATTATATCATGCTCTGCGAGTTTATCCCTAATTTCGTTGTCTTCGGCCAAAATCACCACTTGGACCACCACGTCGGGCTTTTTCTCCGAACACAGACGCCGATTTAGAGGATCCAATTCGCCGGGAGCGAGAAATCCCTCTTGCAATAATTTTCCAACGATGTAAAGCGACTGGGCCCACAGAAACGGACAGTGGCCCAAAGCCACCCTTTTCTGAGTACCTGGTTCCCTATACTCGGCTTCTACGAGTTCTTGCGGAACTGAGTACAACTCCGGGACGAATCTCAAACCGTCCTCAGTTCGTATCATAATCTGGAAAATTGTCTCAAAACATTTCAGGCGAAATAGCGAGGGGCCGTTAACTCTGGAATTAGTTGTACAAATTTTGGAGTTTAATCGGAATTGCTTAGAATTATTTGGAATTAAAGGAATTTTTCTGGAATTATTGGAAATCTTTTTGGAATTACTGGATTTTTTTTTGGAATTATCGGAAATTAAATAATTACAACATAAATTAACGTTAATTCACTTACTAATTAATAAATAAAAAACCGCTAGTAATTTAATGTGTGAGATTTTGTTCGTAAACGGTTTTTACAAATTTTGCAATAAAATATGAACAAATTTGGATATACATTTTCATCTAATTTGTTAATATCTATTATTCGGCACATGTTTCCAAAATTTTGGGATTTTTATAGACATGATACAATTTTTTTATCAGCTTATCATTGTCTTTTACATTTTACAACTTTATTGAAATGTTTGACTACACTGGCGGTCAAGGAATTTTGAACGATTTGTCATTCGACTGACATAAAAATGTAAAACGGGCCTTAGGCAACTAACCTCACTTTCGGTTTTTGTAATTTTTATCCTGAGAGCGAGAGAAAAAATGACAACAAATCAAAATAATTTATTAATCTTATATAAAAACACGTATTGCTGGCATTATTGTTTCGGAAAATCGACGCCAAAAATAAATTTCAACTAAAACTTTCAAATTTTAGTTTCAAACGTCAATCATAATGACAATAAAGCGTGGCTTACATTGATATTTCCCAAAAAAGTTTTTCCGGACGAAAAAGTCAATTTGGTTTCTATGATGGCGAAATTTTTTTAATAAACAGGTAGGAATAGGTTTTTTGGAAGCTTTAACAAAAAATTTTTGTTTGTAATACGTAGTTGCGGAATTAAAATTTCGGGCAGTTTTTTTCAATCACTTTAAAAAGTTCACTCTAAACTACCTTTTACTGTCATCATGACTGACATTTGACAATTAAACTTTTTTGTTGTTGTTAAAATTGTTAATTAAACAATTTGTCTGTCTTAGGAAATTTATTAATTGAACAAGTGTAATTAAATCATGGCTTTGATCTGCCTATTCGTTATTATGCCACAAATAACTATTTTTGAAAGTAAATAAGTCAAAGTGACAAACATAACAAGAGTATAAAATGAGATTATTAATGCAAAGGTTGTTTTAGAGTTTGCATTATAAAAATGACCATACCGAAATTTTTATTCCGCAACTGTACGTATTACAAATTTTTTTGTTAAAGCTTCCAAAAAACGAATTCATACCTCTTTATTAATTAAAAAAATTTCGCTATCATAGAAACCAAATTGACTTTTTCGTCCGGAAAAACTGTTTTTTGGCTATTTAATTTTTAACAAGAGAATTTATATGTACATGTGAACACTATTCGTAATTAATTAACAACTTAATTTGTCATTTCTGACAATGTAATGTTGAAAAATTTTCTGTAATATTAAACTAAGCTAAGATTTCTTTATTTATATTTTCTTTATAATCTTTACGGTTTACGCATCATTTTAAGATAAATGTCTTGCACTGCATGTTTCAATACAATTTAAAAAATATTTGTGTATCATTTTAAAAATCGATTTAGACTTACCTTCATTTTCTTCAATTGCCTTTTAATTTTTTATTTTTTTTCTACATAATCCAAAGTAATACCCCAGGTTGAATGGATTTATTTCAATGGCTAAACTTTAAGAAGAGGTTCTTGTAATTTTTTTTCAAAATTACGTTAAATTTCTTATTACGACTATCAGAATTAATTTGGAATTACAGGAATTAATTTGAAAACAATGGATGGATTACTGGAGTTACTGGAATTATTTTGGAATTGGGATTAGTTGTACACATTTTTCGAGGAAGCGGCCCCTCGGGAAATAGTATTTAAGTTACATCTTCGAGTTGTTGGGTGTATTCAGCTGCTCTCTCTTTATTACCCCTGAAGCAATTTTCGATGATTAGATAACAAAAGAATAACGGCCATTCGCATTCGATGTTTTCAAACATGCGCAGCTCCCAAGGCTCGTAATACAACCTTCGAGGGTCCTAGAAAAAAGATGTGTTAGTTAACCTTGCAGACTTTACACAATCAATTTAAGTTTAAGGGCATCTGATTAAATTACTTCTTTTGGTGTTTTGTAGCCGTCCCTTAGAAACCGCTTACAGCCATATCGCCCTTGTAACTTTTCAATTATTTGGTCCTTAGTGTATTGGAGTAAATCGGGATCATCTACCGCAAAAGCAGGAAAGCTAACAACAGACAACAATCCGCTGTCTATTTCCTTTGAGCTTGATTCCCGCGGCAGCATTGACTGAAACCGCGACTTAAAATAAAAGACAACAAAGGCGAAAAAATCACTTGTAAGACAGCTTGACACTTTTGGGCCTCATCGGCCAAGACGTGGATTATACTGTAAGGGCCCCCTCTGGCCCCAAATAGATCCAATTCGTTCATGGCTTCGAGCGCAGCTTTGGCCATCCCAATGGAACTCGCGTTGAGTTCTGGTAAACCGTGATTGGTTTTGTCCCCACGTTCCCAAATCCCGTAATCAGGGGTACAATAGGCGCATTCAATATAAAACACCAAGTTTTGTATAAACGCAACTTCGTCTAGATTAAAGACGATCTGGAGGCCCGAGGCCGTCATTTGCGCCAAAATTAACAAATACAATGAAATGGCGTCGATTTGCAAGTGCCCCCATTCATTGTCTCCTACAACTATCTCTCCCGTTTGGGACGAATATTTCGCGTGTAAGGAGTCAAGCGGGTTTTGGGTTTGTTTGAAACGCTCGACTTTTTCCTTTTGTTGCATCATTGCCATTAAAAGGCCCCGCATTAGTTTCACACAGGATTGTTCCAGTTCGTAGGTTTTAGCTCGGTCTTCGTCCTGATCAGCCATTTTTTTGTATGACATTGAAAGGCCCCATACGGCTAAGATGCAATAGACGTTGTCACGAATCCAAGCGTGGCTGTTCTCCAAACTTGCTGGAAACAGCCCCGTGACTGGATTTTGATTCGACATGATTATTTTGTGGACAAGCCGGTGATAATAGTCCAGGCGAACCCCGGAGTTGCTTCTCGTACGCATTTTGAACGAATGTAACACAAATTAACTATTACTTCACCAATTATAGACACACCACAAAGACATCTCAATGTCAACAAATGTCAAGAATTGTTTATAAATAGAAAAAAGAGGTTAGGTTAAACATGGTTCGAATGTGCAAATGAGGCAAATTGAACTTTTTATTTTACATATATTTTGTATGTTAAATCTACTTCACAGAATTGAGTTTAAAGAATAATGAAGCGTCAAAATACTTATAGATATTTTTTTAAGAGGAAGAACCGATTTTCGAACATTAACACAATCGGTTTTTAAGTCAGGGTCAAGTTGTTCTGTCACTTTTTACCCAACATTTCAATCTTTCGAATTTTGAAGTTAGATAAAAACGTACGGGGAAAAAATGAATCAAAAACGGTTTACGCCCCAGTCCAAGTGCCCCCCGAGTACGTCAAAATACCTCACTCCGACTAATTTACATCCACCACATCATGGAATAAGTAGAAGTGCCACTACCATGAGTACCATGTCCTGTACAAGGGGTTTAGCTGATGTTAGCACAATTTCAAGGATCGGTCCTAATATTAAACGTAATTTGATAAATGGAACGTTTATTGATGATGACCTTGCCTGTGATTTGGCGTACAGTGATTATTTGCAAGCTCTTATGAAGGAAGAACTTGTTAGCAATGTGAGTGAAAATCATAAGCGAGACATGAAAGACCAATTAATTATTCAGAAAGACAACTTGTTTAAAATGGAAATGAAGTTAAAAAAGGCTCGAGAGGAGTTGAACGAAATGAAAATGTTGGAAGAAGCGAATCGGCTTTTAAATTGCGTACAAAATAATTTTCACACTTTATTCCAATTAAAGGATCATTTTCAATTAGAGGAAGCACTGGAACAATTGTTGCAAATGCTCGAATCATTGTCCAATAAAGTGTTATTAAGAAACGTGGAAGCAATCAAAGGCCAAGAAAATTTCGATAGATTATTTTTATTGCTTAAGCAGTTGATGGAAACGTGTGATCGAATGAAATTAAATGAAAGAAACAAGGATCTGGTAAATGAACTTGCCCTTGCAATAAGAAAATTTGAAGAAGTTTCCAAAGGTGCAATTCAGCAGCAAGAGGGTATTGAAAATCGTCAAAAACTTGAAACTTATAATTTGATGAAATCCATATCTGATATGTATGCAGAAAAACAAAAATATTCCAATTAAATAACTTTTATTGAGTTGGAACTTTAGACACATCAACTCCCCCTTTTCCACTTCCACGTTCCACTCGCGTTACCTTGACCACCACAATATGGCGTGATTCAATTGACAAGAGAAGTTGGTACATTATTCGTTGTTTATAATTGTACTAAAGCTTGTTGAAATTTACACAATTCTTATAAGTAAACATCACAATATTAACAACCGGTTCAAGTGTTAAACGAATTTATTTTGTGTTACTTTTTTTAATGTATGGTTAAGTTCTCAAACATGATGAAGTTGTATAAAGAAAGACTCCTCTCCGATGCCCAGTTAAAACGATTAGGTGAACATCAATATTCGTGTCAAAGTGTTAGTATTTTGGACAAATTGTTGCAACCGTATTGGAATTGGTTAACGTCGAAGGTGCCCCTTTGGTTAGCACCTAACCTCATTACAATTTTGGGGCTCATTGTAAATATTGTCACGGCTTTAATTCTTATATGGTAAGTACACATCATATAAAATCTCATAAATTGAGTAAATAAAGGGGCACCACTTTCTATTCCGTACTTTTTATTTTTCATATTTATCATTCTTCGGACTGGTCACTTTCTCATTTCACTGGGTTTTGCCATTAGGTTTATTATTTTTTAATTTGACTTGTATGCATAATTTACTTTTAATTGCCCACATGTCAATTCCAACAATAACACTGATTGTTGTATTTTTGCGTTTTTAACTGATATGATTTTTATCTTTTTCCTGAATTATATAATTCATGATTTATCTAAATTTGTAGGTTTGTATATTTGGTGTGATTCACTCATATGTTTTCATATCAGGTTGATAATTAATTAATTAATTAAAATCCAGTGAAACTTTCTACGGTTATTTTTTGATAAAGTCGCTTTCTCGCGACGAATGCGAATTAAAATTAAACGGTCTGGAGATTATCAACTGTACAATATTTATTTATCAAATTTTGTTCAAGATAAAAGTTACTGTTCACACATTCGTGTATGATTTTACGGTATTTACTACCGAAATGTAAATATGAAAATATGAGAGTGGGTGGAAGAAAAACGATGAGTAATTATGATTTGTTTACAATTTATTGTATTTGTCATGTCACTGTTAATTTGTAAAAAGTTTTGATTTGTGGGTTTTAAATGAATCGATTTTGCAAGTAAGAGGAAATAAGTCATGGAAATTTTCCAATTAGGAGTTTGGTGCCAATTTACGATTACGAGTCAACTAGAAAATTGTATTTTTTATAGTCGCCACGCTAAGTTTTCAATAACCTAATAATTGTTTTTGCTTTCAAAGGTTAATTGTGTTATATTTGTTGAAAGGTCGAATGCAACTTTTTTACGTTGAATTTTAAAACAATAAATAATCGAGTAAATAAATAAATTACTGTAATTTTCTCCTCCAATTGCGAAATCCCTTTATAGAATTCATCAAGCTTTTGTTCTAGCAGACCTACGGATGTATCATTTTTTTGATGATACATTTGTGATTATTGCTAGTATTTGCGTATAATATCCGATTTCAGAAGATTTTATCTAATCTAATGGTAGGAAACGTATGAGCTCTTTTTTCATAACATAATTAGCAAAAGACTGAAGTTTTTTAAAGATTTGAAGCATACTTAACACTTTTTGTTTTTAATACAATAAATTGTAGGTAAAAGACTGTTTTATGTACCTACTTAAAAATTGTAGTTGAAGCATCTCTTTAACCTGTAATAATCAAGGTTTTCAATCGTTTTCTTATGCGATGGCGACTCCGATAATAATCTTCTGTGTTGTTGAATGTTATTTCGACCCACAATTTTTTAATTACATAGTTTGCTCGTAAAATGCATGTATTAACATAATTATGTAAACGATTTCCTTGCATTTTTGCGACAGTCATTTTGTCCGTGTTCCTTTGAAATAGTTAATTAGAAAATCAATAGATGTTAGATAAAATATTCCGTCTTAATCTTTAAGATCTAATTCTCGTTCGATATATTTTGCGTCGTAATTTAAACTTGACGACGTACGTGGTAATGAGATGAATGAATGCATTTATTGTACTATAGGATTTACCGTTTCGTTTTGATAAAGATTCATTAAATAAAAAGTGATTGCGAGTAAAATGACTACACATTTTATCAAGTTAGTATAAAAATACAAACAGAAGTATTTATGGTTTTATTTCAAATTTATTACACGTTGATAATGAAATAATAGTCAATTAGAACCCGTGTAATTGATTGTAGTTTTCAATTGTAGTTTATTCGAATCAGGAACTCAAAGAGAATTGTTATACAGGGTGTGTAAGAACTCGCGCCCCAGAGAAATATTTCAAGTAAGATAAGATACCAGGAACATGGAAAAAACGTTTAAAAAATTGTATTTGTAAAAAAAAATTACATTTGACGTTTTTTATGTCTATTTAATGATCGTGATGGTCTTGTATATGTTTTTTTTTATTATTATTTAGTAAAGGTACAATAGCCTGTAGCAAAAAAACTGGAAAATTATTTTTCCAACAGAAAAATTTATCCAACGAAAAAATTCGCATTTGGAGTAATTTTTTGGCGCTGAATGTGTTGGTTAATTTTGCTTTGTAAGAAGTTTTTTTGAATTTTTTAGCAGCTTCGGACTTATTGGCTAATTTTCCACAAAAAAATGTCTCTTGTGTTATTTTTGTACGACGCATCGTTTTCGAAAAAAAACCGTTTTTTTCTTAACTGTGCACTGACTTTAATTACGAAAAGTAACAGAGTTTTGCAATATAATAATAATAACTAAAAAATATACATAATCAAAAAAAAAACCTAAATGTACAAGCAAAAAAGAAATTTAATAATACAGAATAAAAAACAAAGAAATCATAATAGGAAATTATACAGGGTGTCAGAACTCGCGCCCCAGACAAAAATTACAAATAAAAAAAAGATAGCAGGAACATGGAAAAAAATTCTTTTGTTTTTTGTCTTTTGATACTGCTGATGTATGTTTTTTTTACAATTATTACATTTAGTAATGTTACAAAAATTTTGCCAATAAAAGCCATAATGTAATAAAGCCAATAATGTAAGGTAAGATACAAGGAACATGGAAAAAATGTTAAAAAATTTCTATCTATAAAAAGTTATGAGAGTTTAAATTTTGCACTTTGACTCATTTATTTCTATTGGAAAAATAATTTTCCAAGTTCTTTCGCTACAGGCTATTAGAAGAGGAAACAAGGAAGCTGTATCCTAAATTGTAACTCTGTTTTTCATTGGCTTTTTTGGCAAAATTTTTGTATATTTACAAAATAATTATAAATAATAAATTATATAACAAATAATAAATAATTATATATACGAGAGCATCAGTGTCATTAAATAGACATAAAAAATGTCTAATGTCAAAAAATAAATGTCAAAATTTTTTGACAGAATATTTTGAAACATTTTTTTCAAGTTCCTGGTATCTTACGAGTTCTGACACCCTGTATTTGTGTTTTTTTGTAAAATACCTAAATACTCTAGCTGTAAAATTAGTGTACAATTTGTACATATTTTTTCAGATTTAATGGCACTGGTATAAAAAATTAAAATTATTTCTTAAAAGGACAGTTTGTGTTTTCTCCTGCAAAAATGCAAATATAGACAAACTGCTTTCTGAAAGTCTGCTCCTCAACTGTTTAAGTATAAGGTATTTTATTTTGGTTTGTTTTTTAAATATAATAATAATAAATTTACCGGCTTTGATTTTAAGTCATTATCAATATTATTAGAAATGACAACAGCATTTTAAGTGAAGGATCTAAGAAACAAGGCTGTACGAAAACATTGACAGACATGACGTAGATAGATTTCCATTGTGCAAAGATCTACGATGCACAAGTTTTCTCTTAAGATAAAGGGGTGTTTCGATAGATAAAATATTGAAAATGTAAATCAAGCTTTAGTCAATTTAATTCTTTAATTTTAAGAGAAATATGATCATATTTTCTAAGTTTGAAAATAAATCTTTAACAGTTAGATTTACTAAAACCTAAAGATTGAGTTATCACTTTAGCTCCTTTAGGAAGCATTTCTGGAACTGTTTTTTTTTTTAATTTTGACCTAGGAAACCAACTTCCGAAATCTTTCAACGTTTTTTCCAGGTACCCCGTATAACAGACAATGTATTTTTTTTTGTCGGAATTAAAGATTGGCTTTTTGTTGTTTTTATATCAAATAATAACAGTTATGTTTTCTAGGTTTTCACCAGACGCAAAACAGGAAGCTCCCCGATGGGCGTGCGGCCTATGCGGCTTCGGCCTTTTCGTGTATCAAAGTCTGGACGCCATCGACGGGAAACAGGCCCGAAAAACCGGCACTGCGAACCCTTTGGGTGAGCTCTTCGACCACGGCTGCGATTCGATATCAACAGTTTTTGTGGCCTTGTCCGCATGTATTGCCGTCCAGCTGGGGTATTATCCCGGATGGATGTTTTTTCAGGTCGGTAATGTTGAAAACTTCTTATCGTTTTATATAAATTACCATTTTAGTGTTTTTGTGCTATGACGCTTTTCTATTGTGCGCATTGGCAGACGTACGTTTCCGGAACGTTACGTTTCGGGAGGATCGACGTGACGGAGGCACAATACACCATCATGGGAATCCTCCTCTTGTCGACGATTTTCGGACCCAGTGTTTGGTCCACGAAGGTGAGAATCGGTCGTTTTGTGTCAATGTTTTACACAGGTCCGAATTCGGCCAGAGTTTTGCTCGAGATCTAATTTCAGTTGATTTGTTGTGTAGTTTTTTAGCGGTACTGTTTGCTTATGGTACTTAATTCCATTAAGCACTTTAATATGCGGCCTGTGGTCGCTTTACCAAAGTATTATTGTGATATTCACCGGGGGTGTCGGCAAGAACGGATCAACAGTTGCTGTAAGTTTTCAGATTATTCACACAGCAGTAGCATGGATTAAAATTCCTGCAAAAGCCTACAATGAGAATTTCTAACTAACATTTTGTGTTCCCTTATGTTTTATTTTAGGACGATTCGAGGTGCATGGGGCGATTTGTTTGTTTTCGGTCTCGAAACAACAAACGATGACCGTTTTATATCCTAGATTAATATTCGTTTTTATGTAATAACATCACAGAGATTTATTTTTCGTGACACTTGTTTTTGTTTGAGCTTCTTTTGTATTTTAAGCCTAGTTCGACTAACCGGTGGAGGAATTGAACTGTTGATGAGTAAGTCATTCCTTACTCAGGTTGGTTGGAGCAATTCCGGGTCGGTGTGTAATTTTTTTCGAAATTTTCTAGGTTTTCGGGTTTACTTTCCATTGGGCTCACGTGATGTGTACTGCTTTTTACCTGGGATTTTTCCAGTTGTTTTACACTTTTTTCGAAAGTATCAAAATGGGAGGATGCGGCAAGAACGGATCCACAGTTGCTGTAAGATTAAAAAAGGGTCATTTTGAGCTGTAAAATTGTAAATACTAAATGTAGCGCTGAGGTGGTAGCTGTTTACAGTCGTCGTCTTTAAAACTGTGCTTAAAAATTCTTATTTATTTTGTAAATAAAGCTGTTGTCAGTCTGACTAAAGTGTATGATTCGTGATCGAAGATACCCGGCTTGGATATGGAGGTGAAGTTGATTCCCATTGGCGTGGCGTGTGCAGTGGCTCTTCTTCTCGCCCAAGCTAACGTTTCTATTATTTTCACGGGAGGAGTGGGCAAAAATGGATCAACGGTCGCTGTAAGATTGCTCCAATGTCAACCTGTCGTAGTAGTGACTGCACGAAAATTGATTTCAAATCACAACTAACCATAACTAACCACACTTGAATCAATTTTCGTTCAATTTTAATGCATGCAATAGTTTATGCTTTATACGCTTTCTAATTCAGCTTAATTGTTGGTGTTTGCAATCGCAGATATTTTCGGGAAATTATCACTCGCCGAAAATTTTTGCGATTCATTTTTTGAGTTCCACGTGTTTATATTGTGTGTAAATCACAGGGAACAAGTGTCTTATCACCGGTCATCCCCTTTTCAATGGTATTGGTACCAGCCTTTATTATTTATCAAAAGTCAACACAACATGTGTATGAGGAACATCCAGCGTTGTATGTTTTGGCTTTCGGATTAGTTGCTGCGAAAGTAACCAATCGTCTTGTGGTAAGTAGCTTATTTTAAAAAAATCACAATAAAACTATCGATTCTAGGTTGCTCATATGACTAAAAGTGAGATGGATTATATGGATTGGTCGCTTCTAGGACCCGCTATGCTCTTTTTAAACCAATATTTCAATACTTTCATCAGAGAATATTACATTCTATGGCTGTGCATGGTAATGAGTTGATAATTTCTATAACTTGTGATTATTTTACATGATTTAGATTTGGGTAATCGTGGATTTGCTGCGCTACTGTTACCAAATTTGTCAGGAAATCTGTGATTTCCTCCACGTCGAGTTATTTAGAATACCTTATCCTGGGGGACCTCAGCGAGTGGTTACGCTCCCTTCAGAGAAAAATGGTACGAATCTAAAGTCAGTAAAATCACGTAAAAGTAAACATTATTAAATCTAACACGGATGTAAAACGTTGCTTTAACTTATTTATTCTCTGTTCGAAACGTTTGTTTGTGCCAAAGGTGGTGTTTTTAGAATTATTCCACTTGTGATGATTGTGTTAAAATTTTATTGTCTGTTGGCAACGTGATTTTGTTGTAAATAATTGATGTTTGCCCTCTTTTTAGTTAAATTTCTTACACTTTGATGATATAACACTGCAGTACTAATTTTCGTAATTATAGAGCTTTTTTGTGAATTAAGATTGAATCTCTTCCTTCCTTCTCTAAATCAAAACAAATTCATTAAAAAATGTAATGTCATGGTTGATATTTGGATGTTAGAAGGAAACACGCACATGAGATTTGTTGTTACACAATGTATAATTTGACATAAAATATTATTACATTTATTTTGCTCTATTATTTTAAATCCTCTCCACTCGTAACGTTTCCTACACTTGGTTAATAACTTAAAGGTTGAGGCTTGCTATTGCTTAGCGCACTTGTATTTGGGGATTGGATAGGAACGGTGTATGTACTTGTTTTATGCCTTATTAACACCTTCAAACGGATTATTCTTTTTGTTAGTGGCGATTTTTTTTAGGTAAATCTGAAAAGAAAATACATCTTTCTGATGGAGAAGACGTTGTGCCTTTGTTACAATCGGAAGAAAATTCGTAAACATTTCCACTGCTGCCGCAATTTGTGCCTTGATCGCTTACAAAACATATTTTGTAAACATTTAGTAGTATTACCATTTTTTAACTTATTTTCAATTGTATGATTTGTGTCGATATCACATTAAATTGTTTTTCCATAATATCATTTTTACTAACCTAACAGGTGAGTTTTGCAAACAACACAATCAGTGACTGGTGTACTTAAATATATTGAGGTTGCAAATACATCAAGTAATAAATACCAAACATTCACACAAAACTTTCATACATTACCAAAACCTAAAAGTACAGTAATTCTCATTTCTTCTTCTTCTTTTTCTCGGCTGCACCTCCAGTACTGTCATTCTTACGTTTTTGTCCACCCTTTGAAGAAACTTGGGTCGGTGTTCCTGATATAGCGTTGGACTTTGACACTTTCTTCTTTCGTTCATTCCGTTCCTTTTCTTCCAATTCTGCGTTTTCACGTTCTATTAGTGTGATGAGAGTATTACAGCGTCTTTGCAACTCCATTGCTGTCCTAGACTTTAAGAACCAATCGAATCTAAATTGGGGCGAAGCCCTGACCGCAGCTCTTAACTCCTCGTAAACGTTCTCTCGATCGAATCCCAGCCTGTGTAACATACAAACCAAAAAGCGGTCCTCATCTTCCATATAGTTTTTGCCTTTGTTTGTTCCATAGGCGATCCTGAGTTGATGGAACGGTGCCCGATACCGAGCCATTTTCGCATCTAAAGCTTTTTTAATGCTAGCACGGCGTTGTATTTTCGTTTCTCCTCTTTCGATCTGCGCCATGATACGATCTATGTCTTGCAATTCATGACACCGCTCCCAGAACACAGCCGAATACTCCATCACTTCTTCTGGGGTCTTGCCTTCAACCTCCTTGGCGATATTCTCAATATCGTCTCTTCCATACTTCTCATTCGCTTTGATAAACTGGTTAAAATCACGTTTGCTCCAATTGGTGAAACCTTGAGTGAGCAACGCCTCCTTCTCTTGCTGTTCCTCCTCAGTCAACATTTCCGATTCGTCGATCTTTCTTTGTTCCTCTCGCTGTTGCTTGGCCGCTTCCGGTCCCAATTCCAAATTCTTGGGAACCTTGTACCCCAACGTTTTGCGATAGTAGTAGATCTCTTGGTCCAGAAGCTCGAAAAGCCTTGGTGGGAAAAACTGAAAATCTTGAACGATCGGTTGCTTAGGGGGACGTGGCGCTTTGGGCGCTTTCGGTTCAGAAACGCGTAAAGCTTCTCTGAAGTAGGCATCGACGGCGTAGTTGGCCTTTCTTTCGCGTTTTGGAGGCTCGATCCATGTGTTCAAACCGATATTCTTTTGTTTCTCACGGTAATCCTCTCCTTCGAATTTGTAAACGGACTCGGTTGGAGTGTCCACAGTGAAGTTGCGTAAAGATGATTCGCCAAGAGATTCGAGTTTTTGGGCCAATTCGGCTGTCTAAAAAAAAATATTAGATAAAACTTTACAAAGGGAATGGAATTAACCTTTGCTTCGCCTTTTTGTAGGATTGTATCGATATCTTCGTCGGTGATTTCTGAATCTTTTGATGCAAAGACGTGATTGGCTCCGTGTCGAATCATGTTCAACATTTCGTCTTTATTTAAAGACTGGGATTTGTTGTCAATTAGACGTCCTTGCTGTATTACTAATTTGTCTAGTCTCAATTTGATTTCGGCCCGTTCTACGATTTTTTCCTCGACTGTATTTTCGGTAATAAGTCTGAAGACACGCACTTGTTTCTTTTGACCAATTCTGTGTGCTCTGTCCATGGCTTGGAGATCCATTTGAGGGTTCCAATCGGAATCATAAATAATAACCACATCTGCTGTTGCCAAATTAATACCCAAACCTCCGGCTCTTGTAGATAACATAAAAATAAATTTCGAGCTGTTTGGTTCATTATATTCATTGATTTGACGTTGACGATCCTCGTGGGGCGTCTGCCCGTCTAATCTACAATAGTGATACCCTCTCCAATGGCAGTAATCTTCCAAAATATCCAACATTCGTGTCATTTGTGAAAAAATCAAAACCCTTGAATCTTGTTCTTTCAATTTGGGTAGAAGCTTATCTAAAAGTACCATTTTTCCGCAGTTATAGACCAAATGTTCGTCGGTGGTATATGGTGGTCCTGGTTCGGCCCCATCAAACAAATACGGGTGGTTGGAACATTTACGCAACTGCATGAGAATGTTTTGCAACCTCATTTTTTCGACTTTACCAGCCCCATTTACTATGTCAATATCCTTCATTAGGACTTTAGTATACCATTCGCGTTGCATTTTACTCAAACCGACGTAAACTTTGAGTTCTTTTTTCGGTTTTAATTTTTTCTCAACTTCGGATTTAAGACGTCTCAAAAGAAACGGTTTTAATACAGCATGCAAACGTTCAACTAGTTGGTTATCACCCAAACACTGGTTTGTATTAAACCAAGCGTCAAAATCATCAGCAGAGTTAAAAACATCAGGGAGTAAGAAGTTTAAGAGAGCCCAAAGTTCGTGTAAATTATTTTGTAGCGGGGTACCGGTAAGAAGGAGACGGTTTGTTGTTTTAAATTCGCGGAGAATTTCTGATAACTTAGATTTCTCGTTTTTAATACGGTGGGCCTCATCAATTACCATGTAGCGCCAATTGAACTTCTTGAAAACTGATTTTTCTTTAATTACCATTTCGTAGGATGTTACGCAGACGTCCCAGTCGCCCGGCATCATTACATCCCGAATAAAAGCATTCTAAACACAAATAAAACTAACTTTTGTTTTAACTTTTAAAATATTCTCCTTACCCTAGCCTCTTGGTCCCCAATAAGACATACGGCGCGTATGCTAGGACACCACTTCTTGAATTCGTTCATCCAATTGGCTAGAGTTGACTTTGGGACAATTACAATATGAGGTGACGGCGTGTTTTTGTAATGTTTCATGAAACCCAACAAGGAAATCGTCTGGAGAGTCTTCCCGAGACCCATTTCATCAGCCAAAATCCCATTTATTCCATTCTCATACAGAGATACCATCCAGTTCAAGCCCCGGATTTGGTAGTCCCTCATCTCCCCATTTTTGATAAAAATCGGTGACGAATCAAACCGAATCGTTGGTTTGGCCTTGGCATTGCTTTCAGCCAAGAGTTCTTCATCTTCCTCTTGTTCAGTTTTGCGGTGGCGGTGATCAGCCACTGGATCTTCCTTGATTTTCTTGGGGCGGCCCGATTTCGGTTTAGAAGGAGTTTTGTTTTGGTTCATAAAGTGAGAAAAAATCTCGGTTTGTTTGAGTAAAAAATCGAAACGTCGGCTTCGGTCCGTTTCGAGTTTTGTTTCAAAGTCTTCACCTTTCCCACGCGACGAGAGGGTGTCCGAAGATGAAGCATTCTTGAATTTCATAAATAAATAATGTCAATGACCCGTTTTTACTTTTACTACTGTGAGAAACGGTTTTAGGAGGAAGTTACTTACCGAATTTTCACCTGTGTCAGCGGTTTCACCGCCTTCTTCAATTTTCGACATAGTGCTTGTTTTACACAAATTGCTAGTTCAAACTACGGAATGTTGTTTTTTAACGATGATAATTTAGAAAAATGCCACTCATTTAACGATTTGGAAGCGATACGTAGCGGGAAACAATACTAACTAACCGCAGGACGGCTTGTATCTAGGGACAAATACGCCAAACATAGTGAAACACCAACAATCCCTAAACTAATTTAACTCAAAACTGTAAAAAAATAAGTATATTATGCACCATTACCATTACTATAAGAAAATAATAAATGTCTAGTATTTAAAATTTGAATAATATTTAAAAAAACAATTTTTGTTTTGTTGGCGTATTTTTTTTTAAATAGTGACCTTGTTTTGTTTGTTTGATATGTTGGTACTCTTGACTTGACTGTCAGATTGTTTAAAACGCCGGAAGTTGGGTTTGTTTTATCTCAACATCATCAATTTTCGAATTAAAATATAAATAAAAACTCTCCTGATAATGGTAAGTCCTCACTTTCGATATATACTTAGGCGATAGTATTGATTTTAGACGTCGACATCGCCGTCCTTTGTTTTAAAGAAAAATCTGTCTTCAGTTCGTAAGAAAATGGCAGGTTCCAAATTTGAATTAACTGAAGAGCAGAAGAACGATATTAAAGAGGCATTTGACTTGTTTGATAACGAAGGGGCAGGGAAGATCGACGCTAAAGACCTTAAGGTAGCGATCAGAGCGTTGGGATTTGAACCAAAGAAGGAAGAAATAAAGAAAATGATTGCCGATATTGATACACACGGTACTGGGAAACTATCGTTTGATGATTTCTTGCAATTGATGACAGTGAAAATGGCCGAAAAAGATTCTAAAGAGGAAATTATGAAGGCGTTTCGATTGTTTGATGATGATGACACTGGGAAAATCAGTTTTAAGAATCTAAAAAGAGTGGCCAAGGAACTGGGGGAGAACTTAACAGATGAAGAACTGCAAGAAATGATTGATGAGGCAGACAGGGATGGAGATGGGGAAATCAACCAGGAGGAATTTTTACGAATTATGAAAAAAACTAGTTTGTATTAATTTTCCGAAGACATCTATCACAAATGTTTGGAAGTCTAGTCACTATTGCACGAGTTGTCAGTATTGCAAAAGAATAATTATGTGTTGCATGGCTGCTTTATTAAATTTTGATAACACAACATATAAAAATATAAAAAAATATATTTTTTAAATAACATTCCTTCAAATAAATCACTGGATAAATTAAATTTGTTCTTTGACCGACCCATCAGCTAATCCAAAGTAGGCTTTCTTTGCCATGTTAACAAATAATCCTGTCTCCACAACTCCTGGAATGAGATTCAATTTGGTGTTAATCGCTTCCCATTTATAATCCTGGAAGTTTTTCCAATCTAGGATAAAATTCCCATTATCAGTGACCACAGGCCCAGCTTTTGCTTTAGCCATCCTCAGCTCAACAGTCCCTCCCAACTGATTCTCAATTTGTGTTTTAATGGGCAAATATGCCATAGGGACAACTTCAATTGGAATTCCCTTTTTGTACTGTTCTCCCAACTTGTGTGAATTTTTCGTATAATCCGCTATAATAATTAATTCCTTGGCGCAGCTAGCAACAATCTTCTCCTGCAGCAAGCATCCCCCACCTCCTTTAATCAATGTCAAGGTGCAATCAACTTCATCAGCACCATCAATGCAAACATCTAATCTCGGATTTATCTCCAAATCAGTTAAGTCCAGCCTATGTTGAATGATCAATTGTCGAGCTTGAAACGATGTTGGGACACACTGTACATTTAATTTTTCGTTTTTCACACGTTCGGCTAACCTTTCAACGGCGTAAACCACAGTGGAGCCGCTTCCTACACCCACAACGAAGTTGTTTTGCACGTGGAGATCCACAGCTTTGTAGGCTGCCAGTTTTTTTGCACTTTCAAGGGATGCCATTGTGACGAATGATCTGTTTAAAAGTTGAAATAAATTCATGGATTTCAAGATAATGGAATTCAACTTACGTTTTGCAACGTGCTCATGCGCTTCTTTAGCTTCCTTTTGTGGCTCTAATTTCAAAGTTGCGAGTTGCTAAGTTAGAAACCGGATAAATTACACGTTTGTGAGAATTATACGTAACAATTTAATTACTTATTCAACGTAAACAACTATTACCGAAGTTATTTTCTATTATTTTTTATTAAGTACTTATAATCTATTCATCAGGTTTTTCATAAATGCGTTCATACATACTCCCAAACTTTTCAGTTGTAGCTCATTAAATCGTAATAATATTCAAAATGCCTAATTACACATTTATACAGGGTGTATCAGAACTCGCGCTCCAGAGAAAAATGTTAAGTAAGATAAGATACCAGGAACATGAAAAAAATGCTTTTAATTACGCGAAAAAACGATTTCTTTTTCTCTATTTTTGCTGAATTTAATGTATTTAGTATTTAGAACATTTAAAAACAATATAATTTTTTGTATAGTACAAAAGGAAAAATCAATAAATAACAGTAAAACAAATACTACAAAAGTGGTTAATGTGCAAAACTCGTAAGGTACCAGGTACATGGAAAAAATATTACAAAAGTTCTATCTAGAAAAATTACGAAATTATGAGAGCTTAAATTTTGCACTTTGACTATTTATTTCTGATGGCAAAAAAATTTTTCTAATTTTTTTTGCTATAGGCTATTAGAAGAGGAGGAAGGAAGCTGTAGGTATTCTAAATTGTAACTGTGTTTAATGTTATTTGTGGCTTTTATTGGCAAAATTTTTGTACTTTTACTAAATAATTATAAAAAACATACAGAGTGGAATTTTTAACTAGAATAAAATTCATAATTTGAATATAAGCGATTTTTGTAAAAAATTCTGAAACAGGTCGATTTTTATTTTTCCTTCATTTGACACATATGGTTTTTGTTTATCTGCTTTCTGAAATGTACAGCCGCCTAAAAAATTTTTTTCAAATGTAATGGTATGACAACTAACCTCATCGGAAAGGTCGTTTTGCAAGGAATACAATGTACAGTTGGAGACAAAATTCTTTGGTCGTCACTTTTCTGACACTTTAATGTAATTCAAGCTTTAACGTTAAAATGAATGACAATTTCAAATTAATGACAGCTATTATATTTTCTTATCAAAAATATGTAAAAAAGTACATGCAACTTGTCAACTATGATTGACAGTGGCTAAAAAAAATAAGGTTAACAGACCTAAAGCATGCTTTACAATTTAATGTCACTCAAGTGACATTGACGACCAAAGTATTTTGTCTCCAACTGTACTATTTATGTTCTGGTTATTTTCAAAGCCTACGAGATAAAGAATAAAACCAATCTTATAAGATGAATCCTATTTAATGCAACAAATATTTAAAATGGATATCGTTCTTTTCCTGAAAAACTGCAAAACGGTCGTAACATGTATTCCTTACATTTTGCAACATTTCGACTGCGATTTTCGAGAAAATCGATTAACATTGAGAACCTTAAGGAACGTTTTAGGAATAAAATTAGGCAAATCACCCGAAAATGTTACAACAGATAAGAAATGCATGGTAGTTTTGATTTGCAATTTCCCCTGAAAGGAATGGTGCCCATTTTGAACATTTATTGCATTAAATAGTATTCAACTTAAGAATTTGTTTTTATTTTTAATTACGTAGGCTTCAAAAATATTCAGAAAACAAATAGAGCGTTGTATTGCTTGTGACGTGGGCTTTTAAATGAGTGTCACTTGTCATACCATTTTTTTTTCAGAAAGTAGATAAGCAAAAACCATATATATGTGTCAAATGATGCGCAAGAAAAAATAATATACAAAAAAGATCAGCGCTCTACGATAAATAGTTATCGAGAAATTTTCTGATAAAGTCAAAAATATTAAATATATAAATACATCTATAACCTCAAAACTATTTTAATTTTGCAGTTTTTTGACACTAATTGATTTTCGCAATTTACAAAATAAAAAAAAAGGAAAAATTTGTTAACACCCCCCCTTAAAAACTAGTGTTTTTGAACATGTCTCAGAGTCAATTTAAACCAATTTTATCCGATTGTTTCAGGATTTTTTACAAAAATCGCTTATATTCAAATTATGAATTTTATCCCAGTTAAAAATTCCACTCTGTTATGCAAGATCATCAGTATCATTAAATAGACATAAAAAAATGTCGAATGTTACAAAATAAATGTCAAAATATTCGATAGATAGAATTTGTAATCTTTTTTTCCATGTTCTTGATATCTTATCCTACTGAATTTTTTTCTAGGGCGCGAGTTCTGACACACCCTGTATACTGTCAAATTAGTATAGGAATTAGATAGGTATACGCATTTTTAAAATTTAAGAGTACATATGCAAAAAAGTCAATTTATACTAATAAATATTACACTCTAGAGTGTGGTTCTGTCATTTCAGTGTGAATAACACCAAAAAAAATTTTTACTGTACTTTACTTTACGCCTTATTTAAAAGCAATCACATTTTAGAGCACTTTGTTATTCAGTATAGTTATTTTTTCTAAAATAGTGCTAAGTAAAATTTTAATAGTTACAAAATACATTATCACAAAAAAAAACATTAATTGTAAATATTGTTTTCACGTGGCAGGAAAATTTTCACTGGTTTAAATGATAAGAGAGTAAAAAAACTATACACTCATACCTCACTTATCACAATGACATGCACATCACGTTTTTTTTTATGATCACAGGTTTTCTACGTATAGTATCATTTATTTAAATCAGATAATTATTTCCAAAAGTATTTCTTTTAAGAAATATTTTTCAAAGAAATCTCAAATTATACGCATTTATTATATAACGTCTTTTTAAATCAAGTTGTAAAACCATTTAATTTTTTTTACAATTCGATCACAATTAGTGCAAAATGCGTTAGGTAAATTTTTGTTATCGCAAATTTTAAAGGACGATTTCTGCTTGAACACCTACAATATAATATAGTTACCTATTTTTATTGAAATTGAAAGAATAAAATTACTCTAATTTCCGGAAAAATCGGAAGTAGTAGTGAATTATTGAGTTGCGTACAGATGAATTATTATCTAACAAAATAGATTGAAAAATCTAAATATCGATGATTTGCATTTATTGAGACATTTATGACTTTTTTCATTTATTATGGATGCATTTATAAAATAAATGAAAGTTTGCTCTAAATTTATTTTCTCTTGAATGAGTACCATATTTATAATTTTTTATCCATACTTATTAAACTTGAAGCTTTTTAACATACCTTGGAACAAATACTATTACTAATCTGGAAATCTAGTAGATAGAAACACTTTTCTGCAATTCCAACTTTTATCTCGAGCTCTTCTAATTGGATGGGGATATTAACAAGAACACCGTATCAGCAAAGCTCTATATTTGGATGCAAACTGGTGAATAGTTATTTCTCTAGATGATTATTGGGGACAAGCAATTAAGCTTCTATCAGAAAAATATTTACATCCACCTTTAAAAATTTTAAAACAACAGCCAGGTACTTAAATCGAATGATGGGTAATATAATCGTGCGTTGCATCAAAATTTCTGTAAAATATTCATGTCTGTTCGAATGTAGTTTATTCTGCAAGCACGCCTTTTAATCTTAATTCCTACAAAGAAAAGAAAAATGCACCGGAAGATTTATTACAATTTCTTGCTAACTACCATATGAGTTTGCGAAAGTAATTTTGCGGGTAAACTAATGAAGGTGCGAAAACAATTTTGAAATATTTACTTGCTAGCTTCTAAACGTCGGAATTATTATTTAATTATTGTCGGTTCTGGCTAAATGACAAAATTAGGTTTGTGAAGGAAGGACGTCATTATACCCCATATTGTTGCCTATCACGCTACAATTTAAAAGTTTTATTCGGCATTGTTGCAGTAAAATTTCTACCAAGTAATCATTACACATATATTTGAATTCAAAGTTCATTGTAACTCTGATTATTGGAATTATTTAAATCATGACCTAATTTAAAAATAAAATAAACGTTCTCATTGGAAAACAATTCAATGAGAGTAATGCAAAAACATCAAGCTTAGTCTGGTTGTGTTCTTTGTAAATAAAGGTTTGTGCCCACATTTCACCCAATTATCACATTAACATAATTCTGTTTCAGCAATGAAGCATCCGCTCTTGTTTTGCGTCCTTGGAGCGGTGATAAGCAGTGTGTTCGCTGCCGAACCACCAACCTGTGACTACGAACACGACATTAGGACTTATTTCTGCAAACGCATCCGAGACGTATTTCCTAACATTTTTTACGGAAATTATCACCTACAATGTGAGCAATGCAACATCCGGATTTTTTCCAACAAGACTTTTCCCTTCAGCAACAGTCTTGTCTCATTCAACGTTTCGGAAAGTGCTATCAGAGTCATCACCAACAAGGCTTTCTCCTCCTTATCAAACATCCAATACATTTACTTACAAAACAACATTATTGAAGACATTGCGCCGGGGGCTTTCGCAGGGCTTCGTCAAGTCTATGAAGTCCATTTAGAAAATAATAACATCGGTGAAATTTTTCCGGGGTTTTTGGACGACTTAGAAGCAAACACCGTTGATTTGAAGAACAACAAGATCAAGCTTTTACCAAGTGGAGCCTTCGAGGGCTCTTTGGGAGTTCTCATACTTGACTTGTCGAAGAATCGCATCAAGACCATCGATCCTGACGCATTTCTGGGTTTGGAAAGTTTGGAAGTGTTAAATTTAGAAAGCAATGAGATTTGTCATCTGACTTGTGGTGTGTTTAAAGACTTATCAACTCTTAGACAATTGAACTTAGCTGATAATAAGTTGTCCAAGTTTACGATTGGAACCTTTTCTGGTTTGGCACATTTAACAAGTTTGAATTTGGCGAATAATACAATTTCTGTCTTCGACGGCAATATTCTAATTCCGTTCAACCATTTATCTAAGTTGGATGTGAGCCGTAACGGAATTTATTATTTTGATGCTAACTCTGTTCATGTGAACGTGCCGACATTAAGGGTTTTGCGGATAGACGATAATCTGCTGTCGTGTATGCATTTGATCAACGTCATTCAATATTTCAAGAAGGTTCATGTGGAAGTTGTTAATACTGTTGGGAGATATCACGTGCAGAACGTCATCGGGATTGCTTGCACGGAGATGGTCCTCAATCAATCGGTCGACTTTGAACAATTCCTGAAAGTGGCCGAGGAGGACACCAAGAAATCTATTTCGTACTGTTAGAAAATAAAGCATGGTTGGTGCAAAGTGTTGTTTATTTCCTTATAATTTGGGAGAATGTGAGTTTATTTTCATTGGAAGTTTAAGACTGCAGTAACTTTTTCTATTATTCGTTCCCTGGCGGGATTTTCTTTTATTAAGCAATACGAGACCTAGGAAATCCACTTAGAACTGTGCAGAGTTATTATTTTAAATGTCTATTAGTATTGGTAGCGAGAGTCGGGTCAAAATTTATTCAATAAAATCGTTATTTCATTTTTGCGGTTGTCATGTATGTGACAAGCTAATATTAAGCTAAGGAAAAGTCTCTATCAGACAGTGCAATCACGTCCTAAGTTTTTATCTTGCGTCCCAAGATAAACGTTGGCGTATTGATTTTTCCCGAGATGAAAATTAATACCAAGACAAGACTGATATTTAATTAAATTTATTCAATACTGTTTGTGTTAAAGAAGGGTATAAAAAAACATGTAATGTCTCAGAAATGAAACTATCTAAATTCTAAAGTGTCTTTAATGGATGTTAAGTGGTAGAAAACTCGAGTTTCTGTAAAAGTATAGAGTAGTAAAATGCTGCTGGTAATTTTGAAGCGTTGTTCTCGAGCAGTATAAGCACTTCTTGAATAATCCATTGCAATATCCTTCAATGTGCTCTTATACCGAGCCGCAGAAGACAATATTCTTTGTCTCAGCATGTACTTGAGTGGCTAAAGTTATATTGCAGACAAAACAATAAAAAACAACATCTCAAGTTAGTATAACGTTTGCAATATTACAAATTTAGGATGTAAAGAGTTGAATATTAGGGGATAAATTCACGCTGTTACGTGAATACTTATTCTTGAGATTCGCATTAGATGGAAATTTGACGGATACAGCGGTTTGGTGTGATAACAAATGCGATTTGATTTAGATATGCAAATAACAATTTTCGAATTTGCTTAAATCCGACGTTTGATTATCTTAATTTGTGGAACTGAAAGGGCTTAATAAGGTGGTACTTTCTTTTCTAGTCCCCGAGCTATGGAGTTAAGGAATGCATTTAAATAGAGCCTTAATGACAGGCTCTATCCGTCAAGAGGCATTCAACCGTCTCACGGGGATACCCAGGCACGTACAGACTCCGACGGTCGTTCCTAAGTAAGACTTCCGTTTAGATACTCTATTACAAGAAATTTGCCGTTGGTAAAAGCATTCTTTTACGGTTTTATGACTATATTTAGTCTCACTTTACAAACACAAAACTTAATTGCTGTCTTAAATTATTTTAACAGTATACAGGCGATTCCGGCTAAACCCCACATTAGAAGTATTGGGAGTTAAAATGAGTGATAACAATGATATGATCGGTTAGGTTAGAAAAAAAAATAGAAAGTTATGTTTTTTATTGCGTTATTAGAATACTCAAGTGATTTTGAGAGAGTTTTCATTAGCCTTCTCTACTCCTAAGTTTAACCGTTTTCGAAATATTTAGAGTTTAAAAAAAAAATTGTATTTGAATCTTCCTATTCAAAAATCGATAACTCTACCATTTTTTTTATGTTGAAACCGTATTTGGGTATACGACAGAAAAAGATTAGATCTTTCCTTTGGTATATTCATAATTGGAAAAAGAATTAACTAAACGCCAAAATGTAAGGTTACATTTAGGTAACTTCAATTTTTCAAAATGAAACACCCTAATTTTTTTTCACTAAATGGAGGAGAATTTAGTTCTGTTTCGATCAGTATTAACACTTTCTATACCTATGTTTGATAGTTTTCAAGTTATAGTAACTTTTTTTGATATTGTGAGAAATTCACTAACTATAGCTACTTTAGCACAGGTTGTCATAGAAATAAGAAAAAAAATAGAATATCAAAGTTATTCAAATTTTAATTAAATAAATTTAATTCGTATTTACGAATAGAATAACACAATTGTGAAAAAAAACTTGGCGTTTTTTTAGTAAGAAATATTTTTATGGCAAACTTTGCGAAAACAGCCATGGATAGTAATGAATTTCTTTCATTGTAAAAAAAGTTAAAATAACTTGGAAATTATTAAATTTAGTTATAGGGAATGTTGATACAGATTGATGTAGAATTAAATTCTCTTTTATTTAGTGAAGAAAAAATTGGGGCCTTCTATTTGACAAAATTCAGTTACGGGTATTTGAAGTTTCTCAAACGTAACCTTAAATTTTGGAGGTTTGTTGCAATGCAAATTAAAAAAAATCAAAAAGTCTAAATATTTCAAAAACTATTAAACGGTATAGAAAAGTTTGATAAAAACTCTCTCAAAATCACTTGAGTAATCTAAAAACGCAATAAAAAACATAACTTTCTATTTAAAATAACAAACTTGATATCCATTTTCGGTGTAACCGGAAGTGCCACCATCTTAGAAATATTTTCATTGAGCTGAAGCTAAAGGATTATGGCTATAGCTAAAATTTTAGATAAATAACACTTCTAATGTTGGGTTTAACCGGAACAGTCTGTATTTAATCTTTTTTTACATTTTTACACAAACACAAAATTCCGAAAATTATTATGTACTCATATTTTAGATAATAAGTGCCAATTTGTTAGTTTTGCTTTTAAGTGACTAACTGATAAAATTATTTGTTAGTCGTAAATGTGGGTGTGTAAAATTTACCAAGTAAAATGTTATATTGTGTCGATATTGTCATTCTACACTCTAGAGAGTATTTCACATATCTACTATTCTCCTATCTATAATTATTATTTTTATAGGGGGCGGCGGTAATCGCCACGATTTCTTCAATTGGAAATAAAAAAGCTTTTCTACACTAAAGTTAATAAAAAAATATCTGAGTTCGATTATGTCCAAGTTGAGACTATCAAATTTAGTTATTCTGGCAATGACATACATTGTGATATTGACGCTTGTGTAAAAGATTTTGCTTTGAAAAAAACACGAAGAGTACATTTTTAATTTATTTATTTTAAACTAACAGCTACAGAAATAATTAACAATACTAGGTACCCTGTAACATAAATATTTTATTCCATCAAGTTGATCTCAAGTGCCCGATTACGCACAGATACATCAAGGGTAAATGCAGAAGGATTTATTTTTTTTAGAATTTCACGACTGCAAATTATTTATCGCATGTATTGATAAACAGTAATAAATTTTTATTTTTTAATTACACCAAAATAGAAAAGATGTTAAAAAAACTGCAAAATATTCGCTGAAACAGTCATAAATATGTGGACGTTACTTCTATTTGATTCGCCAAAAGAAAAAAGACAATTATTCAAGACATAATTTTTTGAAATTTTCACAACCTTTACACTCCTTTAACCCGGCGCGGCGGTTTAGACTTGCAGTCAGACACGATGTTGATGAATTGTTTCTATTATTATTATTTCTACTAATTTCTTCTAATTATTCTAACGTTGCTGTTTCGATTGTTCAAAATTCGTTATCATTACAACATGCATCTTCAACGAGGATTTACAATCGATATCTACACCTTTTAAACTAATTTTATCAACAATCACTAATTGATAAAAAACAGCAACAAAAACAAATTCAGTTAGTGACAAAGATGAATTTCAGTAGAGCAATTGGTATGTTATTCCTATATTGTTTTATCAAAATGAGCATTGTGTTTTAGGGTTATTATTTCTTTTTTTGGTACAAGCTAACGGCTTGCATTTAATCAATGAGAATCTCATTCTGGATTTGACTTTTAAAAATAATTCAATTGGTTTAACTTTAACATTAGGTAAATCGTTATTAATGGAAGATTTGTTATTTAACTGGTTTTCGTAGACGAAGAAACAAAAATTTCCGGTGAAATCGGTTTCGATACAAACACAAAATTTGTGGAAAACTGTAACGGTTCTTCGGTTTGTTCTCTTAAAACCGACGATGAAATTTTTGCTGTTGAAATGATCGATAGTGGTTTTAAAATTTACTGGGAAAGCAGTAATCTTGAAAAAGAATTTCGAGATTGTTTAGATTTGAATGGAAGTAATACAAATTGGTTCGGTGGTCCAGAAAAATGGCAAGCTGATTGGCCTGTAGAAAAAACTGTCATTGATAACAGACTTTACACGACTATTAAAACTGATAATGGGGCTGTTGCTGAACGTTATTGGTTGAATTCGAAAGGTGGCTTTGTTTTTGTCACAGACAGAGTTCCCTTGTATTTAGATCAAAATAAGATCAGAGAAGACAGTGTTTGTTTTATTGCATCTGCTACTCCTCCTTATATAAATAGAACAAAAGTAAGTGAAAGAAAGTCAATTCAGATTTTTACAGCAATTTTTAAGGTTATTTTGGAATATTATCTTGTGGCTAAAACGGACCCAAAAGAGGCCCATTTACATGCAGTCAATAACTTTTTAGGGAAACCTAAAGGTTAAAAAAGAGCTATTTTTCCGCAACTACTTACTGATTTATGATTTTTAGAACATCCCAATGAGTGGATTATTCGACACCCTATTTGGACTACGTGGGCTAAATACAAATCTGCAATAAATGACAGTATTGTAGTATCATTCGCTAAAGATATTGCCGATCATGGATTTGTAGGCCAAATCGAAATTGACGACAAATGGGAGGTCACATATAAAAAACAGTGTTACAAAAAACTATATTGTAATTTTAGGACTGTTATGGTTCTTTAACATTCAGTGAAAATGCATTTCCTGAAATAAATCAAACAGTTCAGGCCATAAAAGACTTGAATTTTACTGTTACCATTTGGACACATCCTTTTGTCAATCATGATTGTGAAGAAACAGTAACATATGGACAACAACATGGTAAATTTTAAAAAGTGTTCAATTTTTTACTAAATTATCACCAAAGGTTATTTTGTGATTGCTGATTCTGGCAGCGACGAAACATCTTGGTGGAATGGTCCCACTGCTCATCATCTTGATTTTTCAAAAGAAGAAGTAGCGAAATGGTTTAGTGATCGATTAAAACTCCTGCAAGAAAGACACGGAATTGACGGTTTTAAATTCGATGCTGGTGAAAGTGATTATGCTCCGTTGAACCCTATTGTTAGCGGTGATCCCGAATTGAGTCCCAATTCATTATCAGGAGATTATATCAGAACTGATGCTAGATTTGGGGGCTTGACTGAAGTTAGGACTGCTTGGAGAACCCAAGACTTGCCTATTTTTTTGAGAATGCTTGATAAAGATTCAAGATGGACCTTAAATAACGGTCTTTATTCTTTAATCACGAGTCTTTTGTTGTTTAACATAAACGGTTATGTATTGTAAGCAGATAGATTTTTTTTACTTGATTTAAAGCTGAATTTTAGTGTGTTGCCCGATATGATTGGTGGAAATGGTTACACAGAAAAACCAACACCGGAGCTAATGGTGCGATGGACTCAAGCAAACACTTTCATGCCTGCAATGCAATTCAGTTACCTCCCATGGGAAATAACAAGCGATGATGTAATAATGAAACTTTTTCAAAATTTGTTCTAATTCTATTTTAGTTTGATAGTCTTGAAATAACAAAAAAATTCGTTGCTTTGCATGAGGATTACGCAGATGTCATTATCGAAGCAATGAATAACAGCATTGCAACTGGGACTCCAGTTAACCCACCCATTTGGTGGGTCGACCCAACTAATCCAGATGCACTGACAGTAAACGATGGTAAGTTAATGAATTTGATGAATCGGTTTTAGTTTTTAAATTTAAAGAGTATTTATTGGGGGAAAAAATTCTTGTGGCTCCTGTTGTCCAAGAAGGTGCTATAAGTCGTGATGTTGTTCTTCCAGTCGGGTCTTGGAAAGACGGGAATAATGGAACAATTTATGAAGGTCCTCAAATTCTCAAGGGTTATTCGGCTCCAATTGACATTCTCCCATATTTTATAAAACAATAAACCATTGCTAATAAATGAAATAATAAATAAAAATTGTTTATCGAGGTGAAAAATATTTTATTTTTGCTCTTGCATTTTCTGTGAATTTGATTGAGAAGGTTAAAAGTTATCACTTTATGTGCGTATTTCTTGATAAAGTGTACTTTACACGAAGGAAAATGTCGGGCTAGTACAAGGTTATCTACGTCTTCAGCAATGAGTTACAACAGCTTTTTAATTCACAAATTTTATTTCACATTTGTAACAAAATGAATATTCGTTTTTACTCCGTAATAATTTTACTTAGTTTGTCAGTATTAAGTTCAGTAAGTTTTCCAACAACTCAAAAACTGGTTAGTGTCAATACAACAACTGAAATTAATGGCTGGCACATCGGCGAAGAAAAGAAAACGAAGAAAGTTGATGGAAAAAGACTGTTTGATGTAAAACCTAATTGTAACGGAGCATTTGTCAAATCATTGGGAGTTTGCATGTCTGGACCTACCATGTCAATTAACTGAAAATTAACTGTGATTGTGATTATACGCGTGAGGTGTATTTTTTTTATCATTTATGAAAAGACAAAATATTTAGTTTGGTTAGTATGATGTCAATCAGCCATCTTCGGGTCAATTTATGTATTATCTTGAATGTGTTATTGTGAAAATATCTTTATTACTGTTAATATAAAACCTAAAAGTGATTTGTTTCGAACAAAATGTGGTATTTTTTAAAACTCATTTTCCTTCTTCAAATTGTTTTGTTTATGGTTTTAATAAAAATATATGCTAGTCCGGTTAATAGCGAACTTACAGATAAGCCTCTTAAAAAAATTGAAATTGAAAACACGACTTCGAAGCAAAGTAAGTAATGACCATGTTCAATAAATTATTCTAGGGGACGTCGTTTTTCGTGGAGAAACATTTTGCAATATTTGCACCTAGATGTTCTCATGTTAGGCTCAACAAGAGATGTCGGTTTTTTTGGGATGATAAAAGTAGTGATAACAGTTGATAATCAATTGTAACAATTTTTAAATAAATACGAAGAAGTGTTTGTGTCATTTATTTATTCCTGTTGAGTATTTTGTAGCAATTTTAATTTTTCTACGTACTAAGTAATCTGCTGTGAAAGGTCGAATGTCGATCATTGATTAATTTTATTTCAACTGTTGTCTTATAATTAGTTTTTAGCCAAGTTAAGTTTTAGTTATGAGAATTATGAATTTCATAGCATTTGGGCTAATTTTGCTCGTATTTACATTATGTTTGGCAGATCTAAAAACAACCCCGGCAATTAATGCAACTAATGGTATGTTCTGGTGATTTAATACATTTTATACTTATCAAATTTTAGTTACTTTGGCTTCGAGAAATCTGATTAGTGTAATACGCTGTCAACCACCGAAAATTTTGGTGGAGTCGAAGTGTGTCCTAGCTTGGTAAAATTTATTGCAGTCATAATGCATTATTTCTAAGTAATAAAGAAATGTTTCGTAATGTAAACATTGATAAGTTACTTGTGGCAATTATTTTATGCAGATTAAACGTATTTCTGTAGTCAATATGAATTTTTTCTTACTATTTTTAATTGTTACTGTTAGTGTGGGTTTTCCCACGAGGAATTCAACGAATGAATTGTGTTTATCTTGCAATACAGATTCTGATCGAGACTTGAAAACATTGTATCCGGATGAAACAACTGGTAACGATCTGTTGAAATATTTAATTTGTTTTAATGTTTTTAATTTTAGCTGCTTCAAAAGTGTTTTTTTCTCCCAGGAACCTTTTTAGAGTGAAATCTAACTGTAACCCCGGAGAACGTATGGATAGAGCTGGCCGTTGTCGCGAATTATTTTAGTCAAAATAACGCAACATTTAACCCAAATATTTTTATGTACTTTTATCAATCAGGATAAAACACAAATAAATAATTGATAACACTTGCACCAGATTACGTTTCTTAACATTTAAGTCAACGTTCAACTCTAGCAATGAAGTTTTCTGTGGCATTTCTAGTATTGTACTTGTGTGTTTTTCAAACCAATTTTGTGAAATCTGGAGTCATTCTCGACAAAATTAAGACCGGCGTAGCTGACACTCGACAAGGTATTAGATGTGGAATACACAAAATTGGGGGTTTGATCAGCCATCATGATGCAGAGTGTGACATAAAACATAATGAAATTGATACGACTGAAAAAATCGACAAGAAAGGTATGGTTATTTTAGAAATTATTTGTGTTTATTAGACTATGATTTTTAGTTACTGAAGCTAACGGACATGGTCATAAGACTCCCGATGTTACACAAAGCTCTACAGCAAAAAATGTTACATTTCAAGGTCGAAGGGTCATAGGTGTGGGTGCAAATTGCCCGCCAGGTTATCGTGGGGATGGAAAAGGGAATTGCAGAGAAGAATACTAGTTTTAAACAATCAAAATATTATAATAATAGATTAAATGTTTTTTTTAGATAACTAGTTTCGTTGTGTAGAATTTAAAAAAATAAAAAGTGAAAATTATTTTTAATATACTATTCTAGATAATATTTCTATGTAAAATATTTGTTAATAAAAAATAATAAAATGCTTGGACGTATTAAGAAATTAATTTATAAAAACTACACATAGTTTTTGCATTAATTAATTTAAACTTTGTATGAATTTTTTAAACATTTTTTCCATATTACTGGCATTTTATCTTACTTGAAAATTTTCTCTGAGGCTCAAGTATACACAGTCTGTATACTCATTACTTACTATACATACATAAATGTAAAGAATCTAAAACACGCAAAATTAAAATTATAAGTAGGTATTTACACACAAAATACAAATTAAAAATATTGTAGTGTTTTGTGTAAGACAAATACTTACTTTGTTATTGTTGATTTATTAACATTGTTAGCAATTTATGAACTTTTTATATCTTGACACATTAACAAAATAATTTAATATACTCGTATTTGGTATTTACTCTTTGAAATAAGGTACACTAATAAATCAGATTTTT